TTGAGCGCCTCCTGCAGATCCTTGTTCTTCTCGACCTCCTTCTTCAGGTTCTCCTTGAGGTTGCCGAAGAAGCCGCCGCCGTTCTGCCGCGCAGCCGCCCAGACCGGGCCGCCGCCGAGCCGCTGAGGCAGACGTCTCATGGTACGCATCCCGAGCCTTCCTCACGGTATTGAAGAAATCGAGTCGCCCGTGTGAGCATAAAGCAGGTTCTCCTTAAAATCCCTGGGTGGTGGCGGCGTGCCGTTCTCCCATCCCTCCCTTGGGTTGTGTGTTTTCTTTCTTTAATGCAGGTGGGCATCCCTCCCTTGGGTTGTGTGTTTCCTTTCTTTCTTTCTTTAATGCAGGTGGGGACCCTGTCCTCCTCCCCCATCCCTCGTCTGGGTTTGTCTGTTTTCTTTCTTTCTTTCTTCAGTTTTATGCTCTTAACTATTTTATTCTTTAGATGGTTTGTTCGCTCATGGCCGGAGTCGAGGAGTGCATGCAGCGAAAGAAAACTGTTCCATCTCTCCTCGTCTCTTTCCCACCTAGGCGGGGCGCAGGTACCAGTGGTAATCCCGTCGTCAGCTGTAACGATGCACCCGAAGGGGACCCCAGCGCAAACATCATCGGTGGAGGTACAAGTGTTCGAAGAGAGAGTGGACGTGTGGACCTGAGCAACGATATGACTTGGCGGCAAATGATCGCAGTGGGCGTCATAAGAGTCGTCCTTGCGCGAGGAGAGCTCGATAAACTCGAGGGGCCAAAATATGCCGCCAGGAGGGCGGAGTTGCGCCGAAAGGCGGGAGAACGGAGAAGCCGCGAGAGCAAGGGATCGGCAGGCGGCGGTGGCGTCGCAGGATGAGGCAGAGACGAGAGCGACGCGGACAGAGGAGGAAGCGACAGGAGGGAGAACGACGAGAGTGGGACGACCGCGAGGTGGCATGAAGGTTGCAGCGAGAATCGGCGAGAGACTGCGAAGAGAGATAGGAAGAGGCGGACGCCCAAGGGACAAGGGTGGGCGACGGCTAGCGCACCACACCCCTCTCCTTAAAATCCCTGTGTGGTGGCGGCGTGCCGTCCTCCCATCCCTCCCTTGGGCTGTCCGTTTTCTTTCTTTCTTTCTTAACTGCGCTCCAAGTGCTCCAAGGTTCGTCATTTTTTGTGCGCTTCTTAGCTTCCCCCTTTCCCCGGCCCTGGATGTGCGGTGTTGTTGCACGCTGCACTCCAAGTGTAGTGGGGGAAATGGTAAATTTTGAAAGTCGCACTACAAGCCCGGCAAGCTCAGCACTGACTGTGGACACTATGGGGAGTCTATAGCTATGCCCCTTACATCCAGGGACCGACCACACGAGGGCCCACACCCGTCTCAAGACAGACAAATTTCGGTCACCGGCGCGCGCGCGGCGCCTCCTCCTCCTCCTCCTCTTCAATGAGCGGCGTGCGGGGCGGGCCGGTGGCGCCCAGCTCGCGGGGATCGAGCCGCCACCCATATGAGACGGGCCTGTTCCACTTCTCGGGAAGAAAGGCGATCCATCTCTCCCCCGCCGGCTCGTCGTACTCGGGGTCGGCGTCCCAAGCCCAGAGCAGCATGCCGGCCGGGAGGATCTTGCGTGCGCGCGGGCTCCTCTTGTCGGTGAGGCCGTCCGCGACGCGCTTCACCCTGCCGGCGGCCCAGATCTTGACCGTCCTACCTTCCTCCTTGTATGGCCAGCACACCTCGAGCCACTTGCCCACGAGTCGCGTGTCGAAGGGGGG